AATTCGAGTACAAGCCGACCTTCACTGCACAGTCGAAGAGGAAACAAGAGCAGCAAGATGAAGGACACGGCGAGCAGGATGCTTTTGGGAAAGCCGATGTCGGTGATCAACGTCTTCGATGGTATACGGTCACGGAGCTCAGCAAGTTTATCTGCGAACTTTGCGCTAAAGAGATGCAGATGAGCAAGTCGAAGGTGCTCGGACCGAATTCGAAGTACAATCCCTCTTCTTGCGTGAACTGTTGCGCGAACTGGAACGCGGACACGAACGGTATTGCAATGTCTATCGAGGGGAAGAAAATGTACACGCGCCTCTTCGCGGAATGCGTGGTGGCAATCCCCGACCTTCAAAACCTCATGGTGGACGTCAACAATATCCAGGCCATGATCACGATCATACGGGAGCTCGTGTATTCAAGGCTGAAGAAGGAGCTTTCTCACGTGGGATTCGTGAGCATGACTGTGGATCAAGCAGCGCAGTTCTACAACAACGGTCACGGGAAGCAATTGTGCGCATCCCGGGATGTGATCGTGTGCAAGAATTCCGAGGGAGTCGAGGAGAGGATGTCCATCTTCTTGATAGGCAAGGATCTTGGCAATGTGGCATATTCGTCCTGGATCAAGAGTGTGCTCGACCAAGGAACGATGTATGAACTCCTGGGACAAACCACGAACGAGGAATCCTTGGGAGACGTCGTCGAGATGGTGTTGGGATTCTTTGAGGTGATGTCGTACTTCCAGCACGAACTGCCACTGTGGAAGGATGCATGGAAGATCAAGAGGGAGTTCGAGCAGTCAATAGTGCGACACCTCGCTGGGAACGTGACCCACACGACGGGCCAGAACAGAAAGCGGAACAGACCGTCCGCACAGCTCGGCGTGCCCACGAAGGAGGTGCTTGACATCATGAACAAGGTCAAGCCCAGACATCCACGATCCCTGATCACCGAGCCCTCTGCACAAGGTTCCAAGAGAAAGGCCACGGAGGGCGAAGATGAGGGTCTTGGTCAAGCACCAGACCCGAGTCGAAGTTCTCAAACCAATGCTGAGAAGGAAGACAAGAAGCAGCGAGTGATCGACGGGCGGAGAGCGGCACTAGGATTCCTGGAGTCAATGGAGAAGTGCATGGGAGATATGGGGATCTGTAAGAAGTGCGCGAACCTGGCCCACGACGGCGACTGCAAGGACATTGAGGAGGCTGCTGGAAATGAGAAGGCGATGAAGGTGCTCCGTGAGCTACTCAGCAGTGACCCTGTTCATCTGATGAAGACATGGGGGATACGGAGGAACCGTCCTCATCAACGTCCAAGGAAAGAAAGAAAGGGGGACAAGCAGGGAAAGAAACAATTGAGATGTACAGCTACACTATTAATTTGGTGGAGATGGCTGACACGGCTGAGGGAGGAGAGCTACAATGTGGTGGCGTCGACCTCACCTACAACCCGTGCGGGGACAACAGGACATTCAAGAAGACGCTTGAGATGGGATGCGACACCATCCCGTGCTACATCCCGAAGTATGGCGATGTGAGTGATGTGCACTTGCCATGGGCGTATGCGTCCATCGTTGACCCCAAATACTTTCCCAAAGGTGCAATCCTTGAGCAAGTGGACGTGATGCAACTTGGCAAGAGTGTCAACTTCTGCATTGCTCCTTTCGACGGTGCTCCACTATGCAGGATTGGTGATGATCGCTCGGTATTTACTACAAGGGACCAAGCAAACCAGCTATCTCACGACCTATGCAGAGTCCTTCGACACAAGATCGGCAATTGCCGAGGAAGTGCTTTCAGGTGCGACGAGGGTGGATGGGTCGACATTGATGCTGTCATTGACGACCGGAACAACGACATATTCCCACCATACACCACGAGAGCGAAACGATACATGGGCATCATGGAGGTGATCAAGTGGCAGGAATCCGGAAGCAGAAAATCGAGATTCCAGGTTTTGGCAGCAAGGTTTCCGAGCATCATGAACCCGAACGACACGAGGGCAGCCAGGGAGGAAATGACCGAAGCTGGCGTGGATCGGGACGACATCGACAGGATGTTCAACAGATGCGATGGATGGTACAGACCTTGGTGCATCCGAGTCACAACCGGTCACAGTGATTTTGGATTCATGAGCTCATCCGCACTGGCGAATAGGTATTCCGCAAGAATGGGTGATTCTCTCGGAGGAGCATTCCATGTGACGTATGTGGAAAACCTGCCAAGCATCGTACGCTGTGGGTTAGTCCCCGGCGGAATCGATGGCGGCAACAGGCTAGCACTGCACTTCGGGGCGTTTGCTCCATGGGATGAGATGAACGTGGCGACGAAGACAACGCTACGGAACGTGAGGAGAGGGGATCCGATTGCGATCATCTATATTCCCAGTGCAACCCTCGCGCGGTATGGGGCTGGAGTCGCGGCTAATGGGACTTTCATGGTCTTTGACGTGATCCCGTTCTATGAGGTCAAGTCCATTTGGATTGGCAAAAGCAACGGAGGGAAGCGCCTGGAGTACGCTGACATCAAGAGGGCGTACTCGAAGTGTGTGGAGAACGAGATCTGCCCTGGCTTTGTCAACTCTTCCCAAGAGTCGGCTGCGATGTTCCTCCAGAACGTCGCAAAGATCAGCGAGAGGATGCCGGAGACTGAGACAGGTGCCGATAATCTGCACTACATCGTTGACATGGTTAATCGTGCCTGCGAACTCTATCGAATCAACAAGATGGAAGAGTTCAATGCACAGGTCAACGAGGTCCGGGACGAAATCAGCAAAGTCGTCATCCTGAATGACGAGACATGGGAAGGACTGAGGTGCCGGATATGTCCATCATGTGCGACCGCGATCCCCACCTGCTTCTGCTTATGCCTGGAGTGCGAGGCACAACTGATCTCCATCGGAAGATACTACATTCACATCAAATCCGATGACGAGGAGGACAACCAAAACCCCAACGTCTCTGGAGATGCCAGGCGTGCACAGGAAGAAGCTAACCACGATGCGGCAGCACAGGAGGATGAAGACGAAGCGGAGGAAGTTCCGGGAGAAGATGACGACATGGACACGCAAGGATATACATCCGGCTATGCGTCAGAAGAAGAAGACAGCGGTTGGCATTACCGCGACACCGATCTGGCGTCACGGGACATTATAAGTTCCCAACGGATGGCGATCTGCCTTGACGAGCCGCGTGAGGCTCAGTACATGGCAGGATTTATCGCACTCCAGATGTCCAAGATGTGGGGGATGTTCGAGGGTGGTGAGGAGAGAACGATGAATGCCAAGCTCGAGGGGAGAGAGGGCTGCCCTTACCACAATGATTTCAAGAGGTACCCCAACATCACTGAGCACGATCAGGAAGGTATACTATTGCCATCAACAATAACGAAGATTTCTCAGTCGGAGAATGTTCGGACAAGAGCCTTCCGATCGGTTGAGGAGCGTGACGAATATATTCGTATGATGGTGTGCAAATGCGAGGGACTTTACACATTCTACAAGCTGTGGATTGCAGCGAGAATCCTCGATGTCACCAAGGAAGAAATGAAGCTCCTGGTCAAGGACCGAGTGCACCCGGTGGGTGATATTATTTTCAGATGTTTTGCACTAGCTTTCAACTGTAAGTATATATCATTCGTGAGGGATGGCCTAAACCTTGGCAAGAATGGTTACACGGTCAACGTGAGCGCCATCATCTCGGCCATCGACCCGAACAAATGCGACACACCCCTGCTGGATTGGTGCCTTCGGAAAGGGCACTGGTTGCCAGAGGACTACAACAAGAAGTGTGTCCGGGCACGAGAAGCCCAGAAGAACTTGGACGAGGAGTTCCGTCGACGCACTCACAGACTGTCCATTGGGGACCGGTATGCGTAGTGAAGATGCTGATTGCGGCACGATGTGGGTTAGTCCCCATCTGTTGCTTGCGTCTCATCAACACCATTGCGATGGAACGACTTTACATTATGATATGATTTCATATATCCAAGTTGAATGGATGTGTACATGGTTACATATTCCGATGACTATGACGCTCTGGATATTCATGGATGGAACTATTACCTTATAGATGATATCTTTTCATTATTTATGCATTGTCCATGGTATCTGGAATGGCTATGATTTGCATTGATTACTCACCGATGTTTCTTTGCCGGAAATATGCAGACCGATTACAAGCAGGCGCCTCTGGTGGACTTTTGCGGCCAACCCATTTATGGATGACAGCTGCGCGATGCGCAAATGCGGCAGCTGGAATGTTCACTGGCGGTCAAGTGACGTGGCCACAGTGTATTATATACACCTGCATATGGATGTGTGCTTCGATTGGAGGATGAATGTTTCACTTTTCGTACAATCGAACCCGGCATGTTTCACAGCGAATGAACGGTGTAGTGATAGCAAGTAAAAGAATGCACGACACGATTTCGTAGTTGAAGCCGTGGCCAGTGGAACGTTTTGTGGTGTTTGGACCGCATGATGAACAATGCGACCCAAATGGGGGATGTTAAAACCCTCTAGGCCCCGTGCCGAAATTGGGTAGCTGTTCTGAGGTCCTTGTTGGTGTTGCTTCCCAAGTTCCATTGATCGCCATTTGGCTCAAGACACAATTGAGGTTCAAGATCTGATGTGTGACTGCATACATACGTGATCGGCATTGAGAGCGAAAACACTTCGCTTGCGCTGCATTTGTCAGGACTACTGTTGTAACTATCATTCCTTCTCCCTTACAACGTTTACACGGGTTCGGCTATAACGGCATCGTCCGTATACACCTTTCTACGTGGTTGGTATTACAGCTTGAGGGTTCGGTGCATAGCGTCCCACGGGACGTCACCTTGCCGTCTCTTGACACCGAACGTGTCAAAAGGGGGGACCCCCCCGAAAATCGTGATTTTCCTTTTGATGTCCGCTTGAACCGACCTTAAACAGGGCACCCTCAACCAAAACACACCTCTGGCTGTGCTTCGCTCGGAGTCGTTTGAGCGGCTGTCTCATACCCTCGCAGGTGATCTCAATGGATACTAACTATGCCAGCACCCAGGTCGGGCTGGGTCGGGGGGGGGGGGGGAAAAGGAAGCAAACATGTGATCAATTTGGGTATGGCAGGAAGTCCAAACGCTTGCCAGATATATGTAAGATAATGAAGGATGAAGATAGGAAAGTCATGCCAGAATTGACCGACAGAGGCAGTCCAGTCCACAAGAAAGAATCAAACGATGGAGAGTGGATATGCAAGGAGGAAGGAAAAAGACAGAAAAAACATTAAGAAATCCAAGGTAAGAGCCGCTGGACGGAGAAAGGCCAAGAGTTCCAAAAAAAAATGCTGAGTTTATGATTAGAGGCTTTCCATGAGAGGCCAGTCGTTGTTATCATCTCTCTTCACCAGATGGTGCCAAAGGAGAAAGAAATAACCATATATAAAGTAGAAGTAAATAATGTGAAATAAAAAGTAAAAGATCGTGAATTAGGAAAGAATGCAATACCAAGTAGACCGATGGAAATAGTATCTCACAGAGAAATACATGGGACATGACTTTTAGAAGATAGAAAAGAGACATATTCTTGCCGCACAGTCTCCCACGTAGAAGCCAGACAAGAAAGCAGATAAGGAATGAGGATTGATCAGGAATTAACATAATTCTTTTTTCCTGCCTATCTATAACTATTAAATCCTAAATTCAAAAACTTTAGAATGAGAAAGGACATCATATTGCATTACCTCTGGACTTTTGGAGCACAATGAGCTTTCATTCTCCTCTCACCATTCAAGCCTGGAATTTTGATGGATTCATAGTTGCTTTCAAGAACTGAGATTATCATGTCGAGGGTTTTACTGATAGGACAGCCAAGAACACCCAAATCTTTGTCTCAACGCGACCGCAAGGAGCCAGGAGCCATTCATGGGACTGCAAGGTCGGCATTGAGAGTAAGATGTCAAGGATTTCGATACCTTCCTTGTTGCTTGCTATCCTCTTTCAATTGAACACCATCTCCCATTTTAGGAAAGACACATGCTGGCCATGAATATCGCATTCAGCTCCAGAGGATCGCCTGGATTTCTTTGTGAAACAGGTGGTCTTTGGGGTCAGTTTGTCCAGTTTGGAAATCACATCGTGGCTTTCCTGGCCCAGAAGCTATTCAGCTGGGCCTTTGGAACAAGCTATCTCCTTGGTTGCGCTTTGGTAAGACTGAAGTGCAGTATCTATTTTATAAGCGTTTTAAGCATGGCTGTTTCCCTACTATCAAATAGGTGTTTGTTTTTTGGAAGGGGGCAGTTTGACCAATCAAATTATGTGTATTGCATCAAACCAAGAAACCCTGTAAGAACTGGAAGTAAAAAACGACCTAGACTAGTGATTGGGGTTTGTTTGACCAACCCAGCCTCTTTGGGATTTGAACTCATGGGGACCCTCGAATTGAGCGAGTGCGGATCGATCCGGGAGGACCACTCCCAGCGCGGGGGCTCCTGGTGCGAGCTGCGGGTCGCCCTGCTGCCGGGTGGCGGCTCCCAGGCGCGGGCGGTTTGCGGGTCTGGTTGTTTGAATAGTGCGGCGCCAACTTGGACCAGGCTTTTGTGCCAAGAGTTTCTTTCAGAGCCAGCACATAAGAGGAGTAGCATGGATATGGCACTCAATGGTTTTAGTGGCGCTTATCGGTCCTTAACGGCTCCCAATGGTATTGGCTTGTGGCAAGATGAGCATAGGCAATGCTAAAGATGACCCGGACACTTTTGAGGGAAGTTGGGGCACCCAGATTATTGAATTCCCATTGTGGTCGAGGAGCAACCAAGAGCCCTTTGAACCAATCAGCCCAGGTGGAATCCCCAACCGCCCTTCCGAACCCGAGAACCCCCGGAACCCCTTCCGAGCCACTTAAGACTGTATTTGGGCGGAGATCCAGCTTTCAGTTGGTGAAAGCATCAAACAGGTCGCTTTTTGGAAAGGGCAGCTTGATCGTGGCAGTGGCAAAGAACTTACTTACATATATATATATATATATGTACATAGATTACTTTTCTGGTGGCTCGCTTGCTTGCTCGCTTTCTTGCTTGCTAGTTGTTTTGGTCGGCTTGCTTGCTCGCTTGCTCGCTCGCTCGCTGGCTTGCTCGTCTGTCGGTCTGTCTGTCAGTCTCTGTTTGTTGGTTGCGTTTACCTTTTGTTCCTGTCGCTCCAGGCGCGGCTCCGCGGCCGTCGCCCGGACTCCGGCGACGCCTTTGACTTCCGCCTGCCAGGGATCGGCGGCGACTCCGGCGACGGCCGCTGGGCGTGCACGCCGTCCATGGGTCAAATGGAAACTCAGGCACCTGGGGCTTGCCTTGAAAACGATTTGGTTTTCCTTTGAACCAACCCACAAAGGGTACCCACAAAAACGACAGACACAAAAGGAGAAGCACTTGCCATTGGAATTGGACCCCCTAATGATAGTCTGGGGTTTCTGGGCACAGGTATTTCCAGCAGCTGTCACCGGCCTGTGAGAGGGACATTTGAAGCACAAAGGTCTCGCAAAGGAAGGGCCTTTGCGCTTCGTTTGTGGTTAACGAGGTATCACTGTATATCGCTTTTAAATCCAATCGCTTGTGGGGGTCGCAACATTTTGGTATTGTTTTCCAGGTACCTTACCTCTGGTTCCATGTTTGATTTTTGTGAGTAAGTTCATGTTTCTTGGGAGAATGCCATACCTGAGGATCTAGATTCAGATGCCACACATGTCTGCCGGAAAATTATTTGAAATCCCTTAAGCGACCTTCAATCTACCAAAGCCCTCTAATCTTGCTCACTGCACATATTCCTGTGGACTTTTGCATTGATGTTGGTTTCGCCCCTCTGTTGCCAGCTCGGGTTGATCTCGTGCGAGCTCAGGAGATGAGTTTGTTGGACACCAAACGGCGGATGGTTGGTGGGTGCGGCTCAAGCTGGCCTCGGGCCAGTACTTGCTCTCGCGGGGAGAGGGCCGCATTGCCGAATATCGGACTGTGGAGGCCAAGGACGGGGAAGCGAGAGCCATTTCGAGGATTGAGCAAATGGGTGTGTCTGTTTTGAGGGGAAGGACTAAAATGGTGGTTTTCCTTTGGGTGTTCCTTTAAAACCAACCCGGAAAAGGGGTACCCTCAAAAAAAGGCACACCCAAATGAGCATGCCTGAAGTGAAGGGGAACCCCCCCAGACTTCGGGTGGTCCTTTCGGTTGCAAACTAGGGGGTCAAAAACACTGGGGACCCCAATGAGCTTAGCTTTGCATGTTCCATCGATTCGAGGAGATCGCGGCCCAGGTCCTCGAGCTGCCGGCGCTGTGACCGCGTTGCCCGTTCGTTCAGTGTTTGCTGGGATTCGACCGCGGAGAGAATGAGAAGATCCATGGTTTCCAACTCCCCCCCTCCCGAATGCTGCGTGAGAAGCCCATCTGCGAAGAGCGCGACCTCGGCTTGGCCTACCACTCCGTGAGCGCAACGCGCCGCAGGTCCGTTCCGAGCCGCAGGTCCGTTACGGCAGCACAGCGGCCTACGGCCCAAAATCGGCGTGAAGCTGCTGACCGAATCTCAAGTTTTGTCGACTTTTGTCAAAGCTATGAGTTGGGCCCCGTTGCCTCAAATTCGGATCAACCCGGAGGGCCTATAGTCAGATGTACGCCCCTCTGGAGAAGTCCAAAGCTAACATGAAGGAGATGTGGGTCCCAAAAGCAGGCCGTGTCACATCAAACCACAACACTGGCAAATGTGAGCTGAGTAAAGTATAGCTGATGGTGGGTGCTTCCCACCTCAACCACCAAGAAGGTGTCTAACTTGTTATTTCCTGTCGAATCAAAGTGTCTTTATGTTTGTGTTTCAATTGAGTGGTGCCCATTGTTTCCTTTTCGCTTTAAATTCAACGGCCAAAAGAAGGTCCCTTTTTCCAATGGCCATGAGGTCTGGATTGAGGGTTTCTATGTTTTGTTCTGGGTCCTTTTTAGTTTGGTGTAAAGGGGCACCACCGTTTTGGGGGTCCCACGATTTGGACACACACACCGTTGCAAGTTGCCGTGAGACCTGGCGACCTGGCGAGGTGATTGTGGCTGTTGAGCTTCCAGACCTGACGCCGACTGGCAAGAAGTTGCCAGACGTGGTGAGGCGGGTGAAAAACCGCATGGCTCATGGCTGTGAAGCGGTGCTGTGGGAACTTCTTGAGGGGGTCGTTAGTAACCTCCAACCAAGGTCGCGAGGTTGCTACCCATTTGGCTATGTCTGGTTGTTTGGAGGGTCCTTTCCAATCCTAGCACTCGCTGAAAGGCATATTCTGTGTTCAGACCCGCATGCTCGGGAGAAACGCACAAATTTGGCCCAGATCTCCCTATCCGCCTGGTGGTTTGAGCCCTGAGCCCCTAAGGTTCAAAGTTTTCTTCCAACCGCCTGGCTGCGTTTTTCATTTCTGGTTTGCCTTTGGTCTTTTTGTCCATTGCATCTTGGCGGTGGACAAAAAACAGGACAAAGAGGAAAGAGGGCACCCATCATTGAAGCCATCTGCACAGCAGCGGCCGTTTTTTTCTACAATTTGAAACTGGGTGGTGTTTACTCTCCGATATTCTATCTTAAGGTTGACCATCACACAGAATCTGACAATTTGATATATATATATATATTTTCGTACCCGAAACCGACCCAGGGGTCCCCGGTTTTTCGGCAAATTGGGTTTGCTCTTCCCTTCATGGGTCAGCGGAGTATCACCCCAGAGGGGAATGTGTCAAACCAGGCAACTAGACCAAAACGAAGCCAACCTTTTTGAGGAGCTGGTTTTCACGCAATCAAGTTGGAAGTGCCACCCAAAGGAAGGGATTTGCCACGGGAAGCTTGGATCAAGAAATGGCCAGCCGAATTTAAGCACAACAACCAGGGACAACACCCCACATGTCCTTTGTGGCAAGTATTCATCATTTTGTTCTGGGCTCAGATGCGGAAAGGGTGTTTTTTTTTGCCTAGCCCTGGCACAGGGCTAACCCTGGCAGGTGGTTGGTTGGCTGTCGGTCGGTCGGTTGGTTGGTTGGTTGGTTGGTTGGTGGGCCGGTTGGTGGCCCGGCTGGCTGGCTGGCTGGCTGGCTGGCTGGCTGGCTGGCTCGTTGGCGGCTTGGTGGGACAAAGGTTTGGGATTGGTTCAGGGAAGGTTTAGGATAGGTTTGGGGTAGTCCGTTCGGGCCCGGGATCGTTTTCGACATCCTCAGCATCACCAGGTATTTGTTTAAGCTGGGTTTAGGCTCCGTGTGGGTTCCCAACCTATTGAGAGCAACTTTGCGGGGTGGTGGTGCTTGCGGCAGATGGTTTAGTGCTGGTTTATGGTGGGGCTTCTTGGGGTTGGTCTCGGGTGGGTTTAGGGCTGGTTTCGGGTGGGGTGAAAACTGGCTTCGGCCACGGTTGTGTTTAAGCCCACTTGGGTGGTTTAAGGTAGGTGGCAGCCTCCACCTACCTTAAACCACCCTAAGCTCACTTAAACAAGAACTTTTTGCCCAACAATAACAAAGGCACGCCAGATGCACAATCCTCTTTGCAAACAGCAAGCTTGCACAGGGGCTGTGCTTTTGCGTGATCCTCTTTTGGGTGCGCCTGTTTTAAGCTGGTTTGCAAACACTTTTTGACATGCCCATATCTCCCAAGCAGTTTCCTTGACCCTGCCACACTTGCTGTTCAAAAGAAAGGATGGCTCAGTTCGAGGTCATTCCCTCAGCTGTGAGCCAGCAAGTGCAGGACTCGCCGACTTGTACAACAAGCCCGGGTTCCTGTTGAAACCTGAGACCAGAAAAACAACCGCAGTGGAATATAGGGTGTTGGGGCTATACCAATCAAAGTGGACATGAACATTTGGCTTGGCATGTGTCCTGTGTTTGTTGAGGCTATCCGTTTCTCTTGCTTCATTCCGGGAAGCCGAACCTTTTGTCCTGGAAAGTCCCGTGCGTATTCCGGCGCACCCCTGAGCCGCAGGTTCCGACTCTGTGCCAGGGACCGGTCCAAGGCGCACCCTTGCCGCTGGGCAGGCAGGGCCTTCCAGAAAAGATGCCAAGGGGCATTTCTCAAGATTCAAGATAACCCAACGATTGAGACGTGGCAAAAGGACTGAACACGAGCTTTTTGCGATTTCGCCCTTTTGGGTTTGCGTTACTTTCATTTCAACGGGTCTGGTCTCGGGGAGACTGTGGGGGGTGCCTAGGCTTTTTTTTGGGGGGTCTCGCCATTTGTTTAGAATAATGTTGGGGGTTTATGAATTGCAAGTATACTCCACTCACGACTAAATGTACCCCACGCCCATTCGAACATGTAGCCCCCTATGGTGTGAAGCGGTACACCCTGCGTCAACCTGCTGGCCACCTTTGCCCATCTTCCATGTGTCAGGCTTCCTGGGCCGGGGCGGCCGCGGTTTCTTTTTCTAGTTTCACTCTCGTTTCGGTCCAATTGTTTGTCTCGTTTCCTAATTCTGGTGTGCTGCGAGACTCTAGTAGGCTGCTATGGGTGGGGTTGATTGCTCGAGTGACTGCTTGGCCAGGTTGAGTGACAACAATCAAAATGAGAATCCACAGGACCAAAATGATTCAGGAAGTACGGCCAGAAATGATCCACGGAGGAGGTGCTCACATACATTTTCTCGGTTGGGGTTTGGAGGGGCTACACGTTGCACGCCTCAAGGCGTGAGCTTCACGTGGAAGAGCATCCGTGACAACATGTACATATGTAAGATTTTTTCACACATGCACGCATACATGCGTACTGACATAGATACAGCAATACAACAAGCATTTGGAGAGACTTGTACAGCTCAAAGTCGCCAGGTGGGGTTTCTGAACCGCTGGCGTTGGCCTTTGCTGGGCGCCCGGTCGACAGGGTCCTCGCAAAAAGGGGTCCGTACCCAGGGCCCAGGGTGCCGTGCGTGGACATGGGATTGCAGTCCACGGGCCCCCAATCAACCGAGCTGGTTTTAGTCGCATTGGGGGAGGGGTGTTGCCCAAACAATTAAAAATAACAAAATGCAATGGAATCCCCACTTCTTGGGTTTCGTTGGCTGCTGCGTCGCTCGCTTTCGGTCCTTGCAGATTTGGACAAACCCAATTGGGGACTCCATGGGCCAAGCCGGACCCCCGCCCTCTAAATGGTGGGGTCTCTTTTGCTTGGTGTCCTTCAAGACTATGTTCTATTTTAGGATAGACTAAGTATGAAACAAACTCAGATGTGATTTTCTGCACATGGCTGCCAAAGAACCATCCCTGCACGAAATGCCACGATCGACCTCAAGGGACAAATTGAGACACCTGAAACTTCTTCTCGGGTTGAGTTTTTCCAACTTTCGAATTACGGTAATTTGCCCAAACCTCTTCCAAGTGACAAAGCAAGCTCACTTTGTTGCACGGGAAAAGGGTGCCGTTTCTGACACTAGGGGGAAAAAGCAAGCTCGGGTCCCATGAGTTTTGTTATTTCTCTTCTTTCCATATTCCCAGGTTGGCTCCTTACCCTGGTTCCCAGCATGGCTCACCAACTTAGAAGTGTACCATGGCAGTGCCCCAGCACGAGAGGGCTTCATTCCGCTGCTAACGGCTCAAGCCCCAATCTTTGAAAGGGTACATAAGGGTATCACCCCTCGAAGCAACGGCTGAGCGTACGGACCCCCTTGGGTCCCACGTTCCATGGTATTGGCGATTGGCAAAGCAAAATATTTGGTCTATGCCGAAACGTCAAAGGGCTCGATCCGTACGTTCAGCCGAATGGCCGAGCGGTTTGGTAGTTTTGAAGGAATCATGGCCGACTCTCTCCTGGATTCCACAGTCATGTCCGTGGGGAGTATCATCATGTCCGTGGGGAGTTTCGGGCATCCAGAGCTCTGCCACAAGCCTTGTCTGCAACTGGGATGCAGTGGATTGGTTCACCCTTTTTGTATTTTTCTGTGCGGGGATGGACTTCCTTGAGAAAGTCAACCAGAAGAATTGTGTTCGACGTTTTTTTGTATGGAAATCCACGTGCCTCCCCTCGCAGCGACCAAAAATGAAGTGGGACCAACAGGTGTTATCTTATTAAAGCATAATGCATGCTTATTCAGCCCTCAATAAGGCTTAATAAGCCTTTATTTTAACAAACACTTATGAGGGCTTATTAAAGGCTTTCTTCGCCCTATTCGCCCTAAATACGGATGTTGCCCACCACGAGTCAACTGCCCACTGCATTAGCTACCTATCCCCATAAATTTGCACATGACCTTTCTACTGGACCATTGCATCCCCAGACCGGACACCGGATGAACAGTCCCGGCAACGCCCTCATTGTTTGCCAAATTGTGTGTTGTGTTCTTT